ATGTGTGGTTGTCCCACCTAGCTATCTGAAGATGAATGCACTAACTATAAGTCACTCTGAATAAGAGCGTCTGCTAAATGACTAAAATGTAAATGTAACTACACCTTTCATCAACTAGCCATGGCAATTTGGTGAAAAAATCTTTTAAAACTGTACATGCTCAACATACAACAGCAAAATAATAATATTGACAGTAAAATATGGGTAGAGTGGGGTCTGACAGGTTTACGTAACAGATAAAAACATCCCAATATTCAGGATCCAATGATTCTACATGTTAACCTGTTCCATTGAGAAGTAACACACTATGCCTGTAATGTTGAGTACTCTGTCTTTAGTGTTGAGTACTCTGTGGAGTACTCTATCTGTAGTGTTGAGTACTCTGTCTGAAGTGTTGAGTTCTCTGTCTGTAGTGTTGAGTACTTTGTTGAGTACTCTGTCTGTAGTGTTGAGTACTCTGTCTATAGTGTTGTGTACTCCTTGAGTACTCTGTCTGTAGTGTTGAGTACTATGTCTGTAGTGTTGAGTACTCTGTCTGTAGTGTTGAGTACTCTGTCTGTAGTGTTGTGTACTCTGTCTGTAGTGTTGAGTACTCTGTCTGTAGTGTTATGTACTCTGTCTGTAGTGTTGAGTACTCTGTCTGTATTGTTTAGTATGTCTGTCTGTAGTGTTGAGTACTCTGTTGAGGTCTCTGTCCGTAGTGTTGAGTACTCTGTCTGTAGTATTGAGTTCTCTGTCTGTAGTGTTGAGTACTCTGTCTGTAGTGTTGAGTACTCTGTCTGTAGTGTTGAGTACTCTGTCTGTAGTGTTATGTACTCTGTCTGTATTGTTTAGTATGTCTGTCTGTAGTGTTGAGTACTCTGTTGAGGTCTCTGTCCGTAGTGTTGAGTACTCTGTCTGTAGTGTTGAGTACTCTGTCTGTAGTGTTATGTACTCTGTCTGTAGTGTTGAGTACTCTGTCTGTATTGTTTAGTATGTCTGTCTGTAGTGTTGAGTACTCTGTTGAGGTCTCTGTCCGTAGTATTGAGTACTCTGTCTGTAGTGTTGAGTACTCTGTCTGTAGTGTTGAGTACTCTGTCTGTATTGTTTAGTATGTCTGTCTGTAGTGTTGAGTACTCTGTCTGTATTGTTTAGTATGTCTGTCCGTAGTGTTTAGTACTCTGTCTGTATTGATGAGTACTCTATGTAGTGTTGAGTACTCTGCATACTCTGTCTGTAGTGTTGAGTACTCTGTCTGTATTGTTGAGTATGTATGTATGTAGTGTTGAGTACTCGGTTGAGTACTCTGTCTGTAGTGTTGAGTACTCTGTCTGTAGTGTTGAGTACTCTGTCTGTAGTGTTGAGTACTCTCTGTAGTGTTGTGTAGTCTCTGTAGTGTTGAGTATGTCTGTCTGTAGTGTTGAGTACTCTGTTGAGTTCTCTGTCTGTAGTGCTGAGTACTCTGTCTGTAGTGTTGAGTGTGTCTGTCTATAGTGTTGAGTACTCTGCTGAGTACTCTGTAGTGTTGAGTATTATGTCTGTAATGTTGAGTACTCTGTTGAGTTCTCTGTCCGTAGTGTTGAGTACTCTGTCTGTAGTGTTGAGTACTCTGTCTGTAATGTTGAGTACTCTGTTGAGTTCTCTGTCTGTAGTGTTGAGTTCTCTGTCCGTAGTGTTGAGTACTCTGTCTGTAGTGTTGAGTACTCTGTCTGTAATGTTGAGTACTCTGTTGAGTACTCTGTCTGTAGTGTTGAGTACTCTGTCTGTAGTGTTGAAGACTCTGTCTGTATTGTTGAGTGTGTCTGTCTATAGTGTTGAGTACTCTGTCTGTAGTGTTGAGTACTCTGTCTGTAATGTTGAGTACTCTGTTGAGTACTCTGTCTGTAGTGTTGAGTTCTCTGTCTGTAGTGCTGAGTACTCTGTCTGTAGTGTTGAGTGTGTCTGTCTATAGTGTTGAGTACTCTGCTGAGTACTCTGTAGTGTTGAGTATTCTGTCTGTAATGTTGAGTACTCTGTTGAGTACTCTGTCTGTAGTGTTGAGTACTCTGTCTGTAGTGTTGAGTACCCCCCCCCCCCCCCCGATTTTGCCATGGAGCCCTATGCGTCCACTCATGTTGCTTATGCCTGGAGCCGGCCCTGCTTTCAATACCTTACCTTGCCAGGGTAATGGCACTGAGCCTTTCTCTAAAATGTTTTATGATATTGGAGAACACATTGGAAGGGATCTTAGACCATTCCTCTTTACAGAATCCTTCCAGATCCTTGATATCCTTCGTCTGCGTTTATGGACTTTCCCCTTCAATTCAAACCACAGGTTTTCAATGGGTTTCAAGTCCGGAGACTAAGATGGCCATTGCTGTTGATTTTGTGGCCAATTAACCATTTCTTTGTGGATTTCAATGTGTGCTTGAGGTTATTGTCTTGCTGGAAGATCCACTTGCGGCCAAGTTTCAGCCTCCTGGCAGAAGCAACCAGGTTTTTGTATAACATGTCCTGGTAGTGGGTAAAGTTTATGATGCTGTTGACCTTAACAAGGGCCCCAGGACCAGTGGAAGGTAAATAGCCCCATAACGTCAAAGATCCAGCACCATATTTGACAGTAGGTATGGGGTTATTTTCTGCTCATTCATTCTCATTTCCACACCAAACCCACCACTGGTGAGCGTTGCCAGGGAGCTCTATTTTCATGTCATCCAACAAATGGAAACACCTGGCATTGGCACTTGGACTGGAACCGGTGCTTTGGTCAGATTACTGGCCCCAATCCTCCTGTACTGGACTGGAACCGGTGCTTTGGGCAGATTACTGGCCCCAATCCTCCTGTACTGGACTGGAACCGGTGCTTTGGGCAGATTACTGGACCCAATCCTCCTGTACTGGACTGGAACCGGTGCTTTGGGCAGATTACTGGCCCCAATCCTCCTGTACTGTCCTGTCCCCCGGCCCCAATCCAGTCCTCCTGTACTGTCCTGTCCCCCGGCCCCAATCCAGTCCTGCTGTACTGTTCTCTGTCCCCCCGGCCCCACACTCAGTCCTCCTGTACTGTTCTCTGTCCCCCCAGCCCCACACTCAGTCCTCCTGTACTGTCCTGTCCCCCCAGCCCCACACTCAGTCCTCCTGTACTGTCCTGTCCCCCCGGCCCCACACTCAGTCCTCCTGCACTGTTCTCTGTCCCCCCGGCCCCACACTCAGTCCTCCTGTACTGTCCTGTCCCCCCAGCCCTACACTCAGTCCTCCTGTACTGTCCTGTCCCCCCGGCCCTACACTCAGTCCTCCTGTACTGTCCTGTCCCCCCGGCCCTACACTCAGTCCTCCTGTACTGTCCTGTCCCCCCGGCCCCACACTCAGTCCTCCTGTACTGTCCTGTCCCCCCGGCCCCACACTCAGTCCTCCTGTACTGTCCTGTCCCCCCCGGCCCCACACTCAGTCCTCCTGTACTGTCCTGTCCCCCCCGGCCCCACACTCAGTCCTCCTGTACTGTCCTGTCCCCCCAACCCCACACTCAGTCCTCCTGTACTGTCCTGTCCCCCCGGCCCCACACTCAGTCCTCCTGTACTGTCCTGTCCCCCCCAGCCCCACACTCAGTCCTCCTGTACTGTCCTGTCCCCCCAGCCCTACACTCAGTCCTCCTGTACTGTCCTGTCCCCCCGGCCCTACACTCAGTCCTCCTGTACTGTCCTGTCCCCCCGGCCCCACACTCAGTCCTCCTGTACTGTCCTGTCCCCCCGGCCCTACACTCAGTCCTCCTGTACTGTCCTGTCCCCCCGGCCCTACACTCAGTCCTCCTGTACTGTCCTGTCCCCCCCGGCCCTACACTCAGTCCTCCTGTACTGTCCTGTCCCCCCCGGCCCCACACTCAGTCCTCCTGTCCTGTCCTGTCCCCCCGGCCCCACACTCAGTCCTCCTGTCCTGTCCTGTTCCCCCGGGCCCCCACACTCAGTCCTCCTGTCCTGTCCTGTCCCCCCCCCAGGCCCCACCACTCCGTCCTCCTGTACTGTCCTGGTCCCCCCGGCCCCCACACTCAGTCTCCCTGTACCTGTCCTGGCCCTCCCCCCCGGCCCCCCACTCAGTCCTCCTGTACCTTGTCCATGTCCCCCCCGGCCCCCACACTCAGTTCCCTCCTGTCCTGTCCTGTCCCCCGGCCCCTACACTCAGTCCTCCTGTCCTGCTGTCCGGTCCCCCCGGCCCACACTCAGTCGCCTGTCCTGTCCTGTCCAACCGGCCCCACACTCATCCCTCCTTTACTCCTGTCCCCCCCGGCCCCCACACTCATTCCTCCCTTCCTTTCGCTGTTCGCCCCCGCCCCAACACTCAGTCCTCCTTACGGTCCTGTCCCCCCGGCCCTACACTCAGTCCTCCTGTCCGGGTCCTGTCCCCCCGGCCCACCCTCAGTCCTCCTGTCCTGTCCTGTCCCCCCCGCCCCACACTCAGTCCCTCCTGTCCTGTCCCTGTCCCCCAGGCCCCACATCAGTCCTCCTGTACTGTCCTGTGCCCCCCAGCCCACACTCACGTCCTACTGTACGTCCTGTCCCCCGGCCCCACATCAGTCCTCTAGATCTTGTCTTGTCCAGCCACGAGCTCCCAACTCAGTATGTACTGTCCTGTCATTAGATAGTGCTCCTGTATGTTGTCCCCCCAGGCACCAGGATCACTCAGTGTAGACGTCGAGTACCCGGCTATCACTCGTCTCCGTATTGACTGATCAGACTCGTCCTCAACACTCAGTTTCCTTCAATTCATTCACCACCCAAGGAATCATCTCATGTACTGTCTGTCCAGGACATCATTCCTATGACTGTCTGTCCAGTTCCACACTCAGTTCTGTATGTCCAGTCCTCAAGCGGCAACACTCAGTCCTCCTGTTATAGTCCATTCCCCGTGCAATCATTCCTGTATGCTGTGTCCAAACATTCCATTCTAATGCGTGTCAATAAATTCCATTCTAATGCTGTGGTCAGTCCTTCAGCTCTCATATCTCGGTGATCGTCCTACCTTGTGGCATCAGCGTACTCCTCTATTCCTCAGGTATAAGGTGTCTTCATTAGAGTAGTGCTCGAGTTTATACTCAGGATGAAGGTGTCTTCATTAGAGTAGTGCTCTATGATGTTGTCATCCATGTTCACCAGGATCCTACAAGGGAGAACGTGGAGAGTTAACTGATTGATTGACTGATTGACTGATTGACTGATTGACTGATTGACTGTCCTGCAAATGTTTAAAACCCAACATTCACAAACACAGAGGAATACCAAGATGTCAGACAGTCATGAACCTGGATATCCGTCCTTCTCACACCAGTTTGAGTAAAGAACAAGACTACAAAGTCTGGCAACACCAGCCGATTAGATTCCTTCAATTCATTCTAATGCTGTGTTCAATAGAATTCCATTCTAATGCTGTGTTCAATAGAATTCCATTCTAATGCTGTGTTCAATAGAATTCCATTCTAATGCTGTGTTCAATAGAATTCCATTCTAATGCTGTGTTCAATAAAATTCCTTTCTAATGCTGTGTTCAATAGAATTCCATTCTAATGCTGTGTTCAATAGAATTCCATTCTAATGCTGTGTTCAATAGAATTCCATTCTAATGCTGTGTTCAATAAAATTCCATTCTAATGCTGTGTTCAATAGAATTCCATTCTAATGCTGTGCTCAATAAAATTCCATTCTAATGCTGTGTTCAATAGAATTCCATTCTAATGCTGTGCTCAATAAAATTCCATTCTAATGCTGTGTTCAATAGAATTCCATTCTAATGCTGTGTTCAATAGAATTCCATTCTAATGCTGTGTTCAATAGAATTCCATTCTAATGCTGTGTTCAATAGAATTCCATTCTAATGCTGTGTTCAATAGAATTCCATTCTAATGCTGTGTTCAATAGAATTCCATTCTAATGCTGTGTTCAATAGAATTCCATTCTAATGCTGTGTTCAATAGAATTCCATTCTAATGCTGTGTTCAATAAAATTCCTTTCTAATGCTGTGTTCAATAGAATTCCATTCTAATGCTGTGTTCAATAAAATTCCATTCTAATGCTGTGTTCAATAGAATTCCATTCTAATGCTGTGCTCAATAAAATTCCATTCTAATGCTGTGTTCAATAGAATTCCATTCTAATGCTGTGCTCAATAAAATTCCATTCTAATGCTGTGTTCAATAGAATTCCATTCTAATGCTGTGCTCAATAAAATTCCATTCTAATGCTGTGTTCAATAGAATTCCATTCTAATGCTGTGTTCAATAGAATTCCATTCTAATGCTGTGTTCAATAGAATTCCATTCTAATGCTGTGTTCAATAGAATTCCATTCTAATGCTGTGTTCAATAGAATTCCATTCTAATGCTGTGTTCAATAAAATTCCATTCTAATGCTGTGTTCAATAGAATTCCATTCTAATGCTGTGCTCAATAAAATTCCATTCTAATGCTGTGTTCAATAGAATTCCATTCTAATGCTGTGCTCAATAAAATTCCATTCTAATGCTGTGTTCAATAGAATTCCATTCTAATGCTGTGCTCAATAAAATTCCATTCTAATGCTGTGTTCAATAGAATTCCATTCTAATGCTGTGTTCAATAGAATTCCATTCTAATGCTGTGTTCAATAGAATTCCATTCTAATGCTGTGTTCAATAGAATTCCATTCTAATGCTGTGTTCAATAGAATTCCATTCTAATGCTGTGTTCAATAGAATTCCATTCTAATGCTGTGTTCAATAGAATTCCATTCTAATGCTGTGTTCAATAGAATTCCATTCTAATGCTGTGTTCATATAATTCCATTCTAATGCTGTGTTCAATAAAATTCCTTTCTAATGCTGTGTTCAATAGAATTCCATTCTAATGCTGTGTTCAATAAAATTCCATTCTAATGCTGTGTTCAATAGAATCCCATTCTAATGCTGTGCTCAATAAAATTCCATTCTAATGCTGTGTTCAATAGAATTCCATTCTAATGCTGTGCTCAATAAAATTCCATTCTAATGCTGTGTTCAATAGAATTCCATTCTAATGCTGTGCTCAATAAAATTCCATTCTAATGCTGTGTTCAATAGAATTCCATTCTAATGCTGTGTTCAATAGAATTCCATTCTAATGCTGTGTTCAATAGAATTCCATTCTAATGCTGTGTTCAATAGAATTCCATTCTAATGCTGTGTTCAATATAATTCCATTCTAATGCTATGTTCAATAGAATTCCATTCTAATGCTGTGTTCAATAGAATTCCATTCTAATGCTGTGTTCAATAGAATTCCATTCTAATGCTGTGTTCAATAGAATTCCATTCTAATGCTGTGTTCAATAGAATTCCATTCTAATGCTGTGCTCAATAAAATTCCATTCTAATGCTGTGTTCAATAGAATTCCATTCTAATGCTGTGCTCAATAAAATTCCATTCTAATGCTGTGTTCAATAGAATTCCATTCTAATGCTGTGTTCAATAGAATTTCATTCTAATGCTGTGTTCAATAGAATTCCATTCTAATGCTGTGTTCAATAGAATTCCATTCTAATGCTGTGTTCAATAGAATTCCATTCTAATGCTGTGTTCAATAGAATTCCATTCTAATGCTGTGTTCAATAGAATTCCATTCTAATGCTGTGTTCAATAGAATTCCATTCTCACTCACCCTTTTTTGCTTTTCTTGTAGATCTTGGCTATCCTCTCAGTGGGAACTCCATACTTCTCTGATATCTGTGAATGAAGGACAATGTTATTGAGATTCAATGACAAGCTGTGGGTGCTAACTAACTGGTGGAGAACCTCTGGTCTGGTGGTCTAATTCCAGAAACAGGGCTTTCCTCCCTTCCCACGTTGTCTCCTCCTAATCTGGCTGCCCTGCTGATTGTAATCTGTTTGAATAAAGCATCAATACCCTAAAACATATTTTTAAAAGAGATACTCACTGCGTCCACCAGGCCTCTCAGGGTTGGAGACTTGAGCATCAGAGCATCAAACACCTCATCTGACTCCTTCCTCACATACAGCAGGACTGTGGAGAGATGGAGACAATCACAATGTTATGCCACTCAAGTTGTTTTGGGTTGTCTGTGAAGCAGAGCTCTTATAGTAGGAGAATATATAGACTGGTACCTCTCTGTAGAGGTTATATAGACTGGTACCTCTCTGTAGAGGTTATATAGACTGGTACCTCTCTGCTATATAGACTGGTACCTCTCTGTTATATAGACTGGTACCTCTCTGTAGAGGGTATATAGACTGGTACCTCTCTGTTATATAGACTGGTACCTCTCTGTAGAGGGTATATAGACTGGTACCTCTCTGTAGAGGTTATATAGACTATGGTACCTCTCTGCTTATATAGACTGTGGTACCTCTCTGTTAGCGGGTAGTAATAGACATGGTACCTCTCTGTAGAGGTTATACAGACTGGTACCTCTTCTGTTAGAGGTGATTATAGACTGGTACCTTCTGTTATATAGACTGGTACTCTCTGTAGAGGTTATATAGACTGGTACTCTCTGTTATATAGACTGGTACCTCTTGTAGAGGTTATATAGACTGGTACCTCCCTGTAGAGGGTTATATAGATGGTACCTCTCTGTAGAGGTATATAGACTGGTACCTCTCTGTTATATAGACTGGTACCTCTCTGTTATATAGACTGGTACCTCTCTGTAGAGGGTATATAGACTGGTACCTCTCTGTAGAGGTTATATAGACTGGTACCTCTCTGTAGAGGTTATATAGACTGGTACCTCTCTGTAGAGGGTATATAGACTGGTACCTCTCTGTAGAGGTTATATAGGACTGGTACCTCCCTGTAGAGGTATATAGACTGGTACCTCTGTTATATAGACTGGTACCTCCCTGTAGAGGTTATATAGACTGGTACCTCTCTGTTATATAGAACTGGTACTCCTGTAGAGGTTATATAGACTGGTACCTCTCTGTATATAAACTGGTACCTCTCTGTAGAGGTTATATAGACTGGTACCTCTCTGTAGAGGTTATATAGACTGGTACCTCTCTGTAGAGGTTATATAGACTGGTACCTCTCTGTAGAGGTTATATAGACTGGTACCTCTCTGTTATATAGACTGGTACCTCTCTGTTATATAGACTGGTACCTCTCTGTTATATAGACTGGTACCTCTTGTAGAGGGTATTAGACTGGTACCTCTCTGTTATATAGACTGGTACCTCTGTAGAGGGTATATAGACTGGTACCTCTCTGTAGAGGTTATATAGACTGGTACCTCTCTGTTATATAGACTGGTACCTCTCTGTAGAGGTTATATAGACTGGTACCTCTCTGTTATATAGACTGGTACCTCTCTGTAGAGGTTATATAGACTGGTACCTCCCTGTAGAGGGTATATAGACTGGTACCTCTCTGTAGAGGTTATATAGACTGGTACCTCTCTGTTATATAGACTGGTACCTCTCTGTTATATAGACTGGTACCTCTCTGTAGAGGGTATATAGACTGGTACCTCTCTGTAGAGGTTATATAGACTGGTACCTCTCTGTAGGGGTTATATAGACTGGTACCTCTCTGTAGAGGGTATATAGACTGGTACCTCTCTGTTATTAGACTGGTGACCTCCTGTAGAGGTTATATAGACTGGTACCTCTCTGTTATATAGACTGGTACCTCCCTGTAGAGGCTATATAGACTGGTACCTCTCTGTTATATAGACTGGTACCTCTCTGTAGAGGTTATAGAGACTGGTACCTCTCTGTAGAGGTTATATAGACTGGTACCTCTCTGTAGAGGTATATAGACTGGTACCTCTCTGTAGAGGTTATATAGACTGGTACCTCTATACCTCTCTGTTATATAGATGGTAAACTCTCTGGTTATAACTGGACCTTCTGTAGAGGGTATATAGACTGGTACCTCTCTTGTTTATAGACTGGGTACCTCCCTGTAGCGGTTATATAGACGGTACCTCTCTGTTATATAGACTGGTACTCTCTGTAGACGTATATAGACTGGTACCTCTCGCGTAGAGGTTATATAGACTGGTACTCCCCTGTTATATAGACTGGACCTCTCTGTTATATAGACTGGTACCTCTCTGTAGATGTTATATGAGACTGGTACTTCCCTGTAGAGGGTATATAGACTGGTACCTCTCTGTAGAGGTTATATAGATGGTACCTCTCTGTAAGAGGTTATATAGACTGGTACCCTCTCTGTTATATAGACTGGTACCTCTCTGTTATATAGACTGGTACCTCTCTGTAGAGGTTATATAGACTGGTACCTCTATGTTATATAGACTGGTACCTCTCTGTTATATAGACTGGTACCTCTCTGTTATATAGACTGGTACCTCTCTGTAGAGGTTATATAGTCTGGTACCTCTCTGTAGAGGTTATATAGATTGGTACCTCTCTGTTATATAGACTGGTACCTCTCTGTAGGGTTATATAGACTGGTACCCTCCCTGTATTATAGACTGGTACCTCCCTGTAGAGGTTACATAGACTGGTACCTCTCTGTAGAGGTTAGTATAGACTGGTACCTCTCTGTTATATAGACTGGTAACCTCTCTGTTATATAGACTGGTACCTCTCTGTAGAGGTTATATAGACTGGTACCTCTCTGTTATATAGACTGGTACCTCTCTGTTATATAGACTGGTACCTCTCTGTAGAGGTTATATAGACTGGTACCTCTCTGTTATATAGACTGGTACCTCTCTGTAGAGGTTATATAGACTGGTACCTCTCTGTAGAGGGTTATATAGACTGGTACATCCCTGTAGAGGTTATATAGACTGGGTACCTCTCTGTTATATAGACTGGTACCTCCCTGTAGAGGTTATATAGACTGGTACCTCCCTGTTATATAGACTGGTACCTCCCTGTAGAGGGTATATAGACTGGTACCTCTCTGTTATATAGACTGGTACCTCCCTGTAGAGGGTATATCGACTGGTACCTCTCTGTTATATAGATGGTACCTCTCTGTAGAGGTTTATATAGACTGGTTACCTCTCTGTAGAGGTTATATAGACTGGTACCTCTCTGTTTATTATAGACTGGTACCTCTCTGTTATATAGGAATGGTACCTATCTGTAGAGGTTAATATAGACTGGTACCTCTCTGTTATATAGACTGGTACCTCTCTTTAGAGGTTATATAGACTGGTACCTCCCTGTAGAGGTTTATAGACTGGTTACCTCTCTGTTATATAGACTGGTACCTCTCTGTAGAGGTTATATAGACTGGTACCTCTCTGTAGAGGTTATATAGACTGGTACCTCTTCTGTAGAGGTTATATAGACTGGTACCTCTTGTTATATAGACTGGTACCTCTCTGTTATATAGACTGGTACCTCTCTGTTATATAGGACTGGTACCTCTCTGTTATATAGACTGGTACCTCTCTGTAGAGGGTATATAGACTGGTACCTCCCTGTAGAGGTTATATAGACTGGTACCTCTCTGTTATATAGACTGGTACCTCCCTGTAGAGGTTATATAGACTGGTACCTCCCTGTTATATAGACTGGTACCTCCCTGTAGAGGGTATATAGACTGGTACCTCTCTGTTATATAGACTGGTACCTCCCTGTAGAGGGTATATAGACTGGTACCTCTCTGTTATATAGACTGGTACCTCTCTGTAGAGGTTATATAGACTGGTACCTCTCTGTAGAGGTTATATAGACTGGTACCTCTCTGTTATATAGACTGGTACCTCTCTGTCATATAGACTGGTACCTCTCTGTAGAGGTTATATAGACTGGTACCTCTCTGTTATATAGACTGGTACCTCTCTTTAGAGGTTATATAGACTGGTACCTCTCTGTAGAGGTTATATAGACTGGTACTCTCTGTAGAGGTATAGGACTGGTACCTCTCTGATATATAGACTGGTACCTCTCTGTTATATAGACTGGTACCTCTCTGTTATATAGACTGGTACCTCTCTGTTATATAGACTGGTACCTCCCTGTAGAGGTTATATAGACTGGTACCTCTCTGTTATATAGACTGGTACCTCTCTGTAGAGGGTATATAGACTGGTACCTCTCTGTTATATAGACTGGTACCTCCCTGTAGAGGGTATATAGACTGGTACCTCTCTGTTATATAGACTGGTACCTCCCTGTAGAGGTTATATAGACTGGTACCTCTCTGTAGAGGTTATATAGACTGGTACCTCTCTGTAGAGGGTATATAGACTGGTACCTCTCTGTTATATAGACTGGTACCTCTCTGGTTATATAGACTGGTACCTCTCTGTAGAGGGTATATAGACTGGTACCTCTCTGTAGAGGTTATATAGACTGGTACCTCTCTGTAGAGGTTATATAGACTGGTACCTCTCTGTTATATAGACTGGTACCTCCCTGTAGAGGGTATATAGACTGGTATCTCTCTGTTATATAGACTGGTACCTCTCTGTTATATAGACTGGTACCTCTCTGTTATATAGACTGGTACCTCTCTGTAGAGGGTATATAGACTGGTACCTCTCTGTAGAGGTTATATAGACTGGTACCTCTCTGTAGAGGTTATATAGACTGGTACCTCTCTGTTATATAGACTGGTACCTCTCTGTAGAGGGTATATAGACTGGTACCTCTCTGTAGAGGGTATATAGACTGGTACCTCCCTGTAGAGGTTATATAGACTGGTACCTCTCTGTTATATAGACTGGTACCTCTCTGTAGAGGTTATATAGACTGGTACCTCTCTGTTATATAGACTGGTACCTCCCTGTAGAGGGTATATAGACTGGTACCTTTCTGTAGAGGTTATATAGACTGGTACCTCTCTGTTATATAGACTGGTACCTCTCTGTTATATAGACTGGTACCTCTCTGTTATATAGACTGGTACCTCCCTGTAGAGGGTATATAGACTGGTACCTCTCTGTTATATAGACTGGTACCTCCCTGTAGAGGGTATATAGACTGGTACCTCTCTGTTATATAGACTGGTACCTCCCTGTAGAGGTTATATAGACTGGTACCTCCCTGTAGAGGTTATATAGACTGGTACCTCTCTGTTATATAGACTGGTACCTCCCTGTAGAGGTTATATAGACTGGTACCTCCCTGTAGAGGTTATATAGACTGGTACCTCTCTGTTATATAGACTGGTACCTCCCTGTAGAGGGTATATAGACTGGTACCTCTCTGTAGAGGTTATATAGACTGGTACCTCTCTGTAGAGGTTATATAGACTGGTACCTCTCTGTTATATAGACTGGTACCTCCCTGTATAGGGTATATAGACTGGTACCTCTCTGTAGAGGGTATATAGACTGGTACCTCTCTGTAGAGGTTATATAGACTGGTACCTCTCTGTTATATAGACTGGTACCTCCCTGTAGAGGTATATAGGACTGGTACCTCTTGTTATATAGACTGGTACCTCTCTGTAGAGGTTATATAGACTCGGTACCTCTCTGTTATATAGACTGGTACCTCCCTGTAGAGGGTATATGGACTGGTAACCTCTCTGTTATATAGACTGGGTACCTCTATGTAGAGGTTATATAGACTGGTTACCTCTCTGTTATATAGACTGGTACCTCTCTGTAGAGGTTATATAGACTGGTACCTCTCTGTATATAGACTGGTACCCTCTGTAGAGGTTATATAGACTGGTACCTCTCTGTTATATAGACTGGTACTCTCTGTAGAGGTTATATAGGACTGGTACCTCTCTGTTATATAGAACTGGTACCTCTCTGTAGAGGTTATATAGACTGGTACCTCTTGTAGAGGGTATATAGACTGGGTACCTCTCTGTTATGTAGACTGGTACCTCTCTGTTATATAGACTGGTACCTCTCTGTAGAGGTTATATAGACTGGTACCTCTCTGTTATATAGACTGGTACCTCTCTGTAGAGGTTATATAGACTGGTACCTCTCTGTTATATAGACTGGTACCTCTCTGTAGAGGTTATATAGACTGGTACCTCTCTGTTATATAGACTGGTACCTCTCTGTAGAGGTTATATAGACTGGTACCTCTCTGTAGAGGGTATATAGACTGGTACCTCTCTTGTGCGTTTCCTCTTTGATCTGTTTGTGGGGCGGAGGTGAGAGGTCGTCCTCTGACGGTCTGAACATCCTCTTCACCAACACACTCCTGCATGATGGACACAACAACAACAACAACAACAACAACAACAACAACAGACCAGTCAGACCTCTAACTCACACACACACTCATCACACATCAAAGACAGGATCCACTCTCTATCCCCAACAGACAGGATCCACTCTCTATCCCCAACAGACAGGATCCACTCTCTATCCCCAACAGACAGGATCCACTCTCTATCCCCAACAGACAGGATCCACTCTCTATCCCCAACAGACAGGATCCACTCTCTATCCCCAACAGACAGGATCCACTCTCTATCCCCAACAGACAGGATCCACTCTCTATCCCCAACAACAGGGCTCTCTCTGAGGCTGGGATTACAACCCACACTCACAGACAGGATCCACTCTCTATCCCCAACAACAGGGCTCTCTCTGAGGCTGGGATTCAACCCCACATCACAGACAGGATCCACTCTCTATCCCAAACAACAGGGCTCTCTCTGAGGCTGGGATTCAACCCCACATCACAGACAGGATCCACTCTCTATCCCCAACAACAGGGCTCTCTCTGAGGCTGGGATTCAACCCCACATCACAGACAGGATCCACTCTCTATCCCCAACAACAGGGCTCTCTCTGAGGCTGGGATTCAACCCCACATCACAGACAGGATCCACTCTCTATCCCCAACAACAGGGCTCTCTCTGAGGCTGGGATTCAACCCCACATCACAGACAGGATCCACTCTCTACCCCAACAACAGGGCTCTCTCTGAGGCTGGGATTCAACCCCACATCACAGACAGGATCCACTCTCTATCCCCCAACAACAGGGCTCTCTCTGAGGCTGGGATTCAACCCCACATCACATACAGGATCCACTCTCTATCCCCAACAACAGGGCTCTCTCTGAGGCTGGGATTCAACCCCACATCACAGACAGGATCCACTCTCTATCCCCAACAACAGGGCTCTCTCTGAGGCTGGGATTCAACCCCACATCACAGACAGGATCCACTCTCTATCCCCAACAACAGGGCTCTCTCTGAGGCTGGGATTCAACCCCACATCACAGACAGGATCCACTCTCTATCCCCAACAACAGGGCTCTCTCTGAGGCTGGGATTCAACCCCACATCACAGACAGGATCCACTCTCTATCCCCAACAACAGGGCTCTCTCTGAGGCTGGGATTCAACCCCATCACGCTTTGTTGGCATTTTAAAGGCAATGTTCCAACATTCGTGGAGACCACATTCATGCTGAACACTGCATATGTCGGCTTAATCACAGGCCCCCTGTAGCTCAGTGGGTAGAGCATGGCGCTTGCAATGCCAGGGTTGTGGGTTCGATTCCCACGGGGGGCCAGTATGAAAAATGTATGCACTCACTAACTGTAAGTCGCTCTGGATAAGAGTGTCTGCTAAAAGACTCAAATATAAATGTAATCAAAAATTACCTCTAAATGGCGTATTGTCCAAATCCACGATCAGATTTTGTTTGTGTTTGTGTTGTAGTTGGTCCTGTTTTACATATGTGAAGTTTACACTGAGTGTACAAAACATTAGAAACAACTGCTCTTTCCATGACATAGACTGACCAGGTGAATCCAGGTGAAAGCTATGATCCCTTATTGATGTCACTTGTTAAATCCACTTCAATCAGTGTAGATGAAGGGGATGAGACAGGTTAAAGAAGGATTTCTAAGCCTTGAGCCAATTGAGACATGGGTTGTGTATGTGTGCCAATCAGAGGGTGAATGGGCAAGACAAAAGATTGAAGTGCCTTTGAACGGGGTATGGTAGTAGGTGCCAGGCGCACCGGTTTGAGTGTGTCAAGAACTGCAACGCTGCTGGGTTTTTCACGTTAAACAGTTTACCGTGTGTATCAAGAATGGTCCACCACCCAAAATACATCCAGCCAACTTGACACAACTGTGGGAAGCATTGGAGTCAACATGGGCCAGCATCCCTGTGGAACGCTTTCGACACCTTGTGGAGTCCATGCCCCGACGAATTGAGGCTGTTCTGAGGGCAAAAGGGGGTGCAACTCAATATCAGGAAGGTGCTCTTAATGTTCCATACACTCAGTGTATATTTGTATGTGAATGTGTGTCCATGTGTGGAAACTCACCCTCCTCTCTCAAGCTCTTCTGTGTTAAAGGCAAATACCTGGGAAGGAAAAGCACATTGGCAACATCAGCTTTGAGTATGTACAAACCATAGGCAAATATGAAACAGAAATCTAAACACGTTATGTATCTAACCCTCAAATAGCTTATAGGCATATTTGACAATCTGTAAAAAGTCAATAAAAGATGTGGCCCTAAAAACTCTTCCTGATGGAAACCCATAGACTTGGTTACAAGAGGAGACATCCAAGTGTCTGCAAACTGATCTCTAGATTCTCTACAAAGATCAGTGATAAGTTAACCAAGGCATCTTTAGACCCATAATGTATCAGATCAGTGATAAGTTAACCAAGGCATCTTTAGACCCATAATGTATCAGATCAGTGATAAGTTAACCAAGGCATCTTTAGACCCATAATGTATCAGATCAGTGATAAGTTAACCAAGGCAATCTTTAGACCCATAATGTATCAGATCATTGATAAGTTAACCAAGGCATCTTTAGACCCATAATGTATCAGATCATTGATAAGTTAACCAAGGCATCTTTAGACCCATAATGTATCAGATCATTGATAAGTTAACCAAGGCATCTTTAGACCCATAATGTATCAGATCAGTGATAAGTTAACCAAGGCATCTTTAGACCCATAATGTATCAGATCAGTGATAAGTTAACCAAGGCATCTTTAGACCCATAATGTATCAGATCAGTGATAAGTTAACCAAGGCATCTTTAGACCCATAATGTATCAGATCATTGATAAGTTAACCAAGGCATCTTTAGACCCATAATGTATCAGATCATTGATAAGTTAACCAAGGCATCTTTAGACCCATAATGTATCAGATCATTGATAAGTTAACCAAGGCATCTTTAGACCCATAATGTATCAGATCAGTGATAAGTTAAACCAAGGCATCTTTAGACCCATAATGTATCAGATCAGTGATAAGTTAACCAAGGCATCTTTAGACCCATAATGTATCAGATCATTGATAAGTTAACCAAGGCATCTTTAGACCCATAATGTATCAGATCAGTGATAAGTTAACCAAGGCATCTTTAGACCCATAATGTATCAGATCAGTGATAAGTTAACCAAGGAATCTTTAGACCCATAATGTATCAGATCAGTGATAAGTTAACCAAGGCATCTTTAGACCCATAATGTATCAGATCAGTGATAAGTTAACCAAGGAATCTTTAGACCCATAATGTATCAGATCAGTGATAAGTTAACCAAGGCATCTTTAGACCCATAATGTATCAGATCAGTGATAAGTTAACCAAGGCATCTTTAGACCCATAATGTATCAGCAAAGGTCTGATGAGACAGATGGTGAAGGAAGTTGTGACATATTCTAATCTACAGATTCCAATGGGCACTCTGAAAGGTAAGGCAGTTTTAGTTAGCGCGCTGGTTATCTGTTTAAACACAGTCTATAGCCAGACATTGATTCTACAGTACCAATCATGTTAGATTTAGGAACAGCAGACCCTTGACAGACTCCAGCCTAACACATTAAGTTCATGTGTAGGCTACTGTTGGTCGTTGAAAATATCGTTAAATTGATCTTTTAAAAAGTTGACTTGATTAGCTTTCCTATTCCTGTCCCAAATGGCACCCTATTCCCTATGAAGTGCACTATAAAGGGAATAGGATACCATTTGGGACGCACCCCTGATGTGTATCTGACCTGTCCAGCCCTCTGCAGGTTTCCGAAGTGGACGTCAGGGATGAAGAGTACAGGCTGGGCGTCCAGGTCAGTCAGGGTCTTGAAGTAGGTGCTGTCAGGCTTCTTAGGGAGACTTATCACCCCCAGCCCTCCATCCTTCCCTGGAACACATACCAGTGGTTAGAACACCTGTACGGAGTGAGCAGCCACATGCAGGCACATCTCCAGCCCGATCCCTCAGCTCAGGGGTGGACGCTTTCTTATTGTTTGGACTGCAGATTGACCCTTTAAATCACATACAAATAGTTTCAAAACAAGACAATTGCAACACTGTCTCTTCATCCATGATGTCTGGATGTAATTTTAGCCTGAAACGTTAGGTTGTATGCCACCAAGTGCAGGGAACAGTGTAAGTAATAGTACATGTAACAGTGTAGGTAACAGTGTAGGTAACAGTGTAGGTAACAGTACAGGTAACAGTGTAGGTAACAGTGTAGGTAACATTACAGGTAACATTACAGGTAACAGTGTAGGTAACAGTGTAGGTAACAGTACAGGTAACAGTGTAGGTAACAATACAGGTAACAGTGTAGGTAACAGTACAGGTAAAAGTGTAGGTAACAGTGTAGGTAACAGTGTAGGTAACAGTACAGGTAACAGTGTAGGTAACAGTGTAGGTAACAGTACAGGTAACAGTGTAGGTAACAGTGTAGGTAACAGTGTAGGTAACAGTACAGGTAACAGTGTAGGTAACAGTGTAGGTAAGAGTGTAGGTAACAGTACAGGTAACAGTGTAGGTAACAGTGTAGGTAACAGTACAGGTAACAGTGTAGGTAACAGTGTAGGTAACAGTGTAGGTAACAGTACAGGTAACAGTGTAGGTAACAGTGTAGGTAACAATACAGGTAACAGTGTAGGTAAAATACAGGTAACAACGGGGTAACAATACAGGTAACAGTGTAGGTAACAATACAGGTAACAGTGTAGGTAACAGTGTAGGTAACAGTGTAGGTAACAGTGTAGGTAACAGTGTAGGTAACAGTACGGGTAACAGTGTAGGTAACAGTACAGGTAACAGTGTAGGTAACAGTGTAGGTAACAGTGTAGGTAAAAATACAGTGTGGTAACAGTGTAGGTAACAATACAGGTAACAGTGTAGGTAACAGTACAGGTAACGTGTAGGTAACACAATAAGGTAACGTGTAGGTAACAGTGTAGTAACAGTCGGGTAACAGTGTAGGTAACAATACAGGAAAACAGTGTAGGTAACAGTGTAGGTAACAGTTTTAGGTAACAGTGTAGGTAAAAAATACAGGTAACAGTTTTAGGTAAAGTACAGGTAACAGGTATAGGAAACCCGTACAGGTAACAGTGTAGGGAACCCAGTGGTGGTAACGGTTTTAGGTAACGGGTACAGTACAGTACAGGGTAACAGTACAGGTAACAGTGTAGGTAAAGTGTAGGGTAACAATAACGGGGTAACAGTGTAGGAAACAGTGTAGGTAACAGTGTAGGAAAAATACGGTAACGTGTAGGTAACAATACAGGAAACCCGTTGTAGGTTTAACAGTGTAGGTACAGTACGGGTAACAGTGTAGGAAACCCATACAGGTAACAGTGTAGGTAACATTTGTGGGTAACAGTGTAGGTACAATACAGGTAACAGTGTAGGTAACAGTACAGGTAACAGTGTATGTAACAGTGTAGGTAACAATACAGGTAACAGTGTAGGTAACAGTGTAGGTAACAATACAGGTAACAGTGTATGTAACAGTGTAGGTAACAGTACAGGTAACAGTATAGGTAACAGTACAGGTAACAGTGTAGGTAACAGTGTAGGTAACAGTACAGGTAACAGTACAGGTAACAGTGTAGGTAACAGTGTAGGTAACAGTGTAGGTAACAATACAGGTAAAAGTGTAGGTAACAGTACAGGTAACAGTGTAGGTAACAGTACAGGTAACAGTGTAGGTAACAATGTAGGTAACAGTGTAGGTAACAATACAGGTAAGAGTGTAGGTAACAATACAGGTAACAGTACAGGTAACAGTGTAGGTAACAGTGTAGGTAACAGTGTAGGTAACAGTGTAGGTAACAGTACAGGTAACAGTGTAGGTAACAGTGTAGGTAACAGTGGAAAGGTAACAATACAGGTGGTAACAGTGTAGGTAACCGTGTGGGGGTAACAGTGTAGGTAACAATCAGGTAACCGTGTAGGTAACAGTGTAGGTAACAGTGTAGGTAAAAAAAACGGTAACAGTGTAGGTAACAGTGTAGGTAACAGTGTGGTAACATTGTAGGTAACAGTACAGGTAACAGTGTTGTAACAGTGAAAGGGTAACAATACAGAAAACAGTGTAGGTAACACAGTAAGTAAGTGTAGGTAACAGTGTAGGTAACAATACGGGAAACAGTGTAGGTAACAGTACAGTAACAGTGTAGGTAACAGTGTAGGTAACAATACAGGTAACAGTGTATGTAACAGTGTAGGAAAACAGTACAGGTAACGTATAGGTAACAGTACAGGTAACAGTGTAGGGTACAGGTAGGAACAGTGTAGGTAACAGAAACGGGTAACGTAAGGTAACATGTAGGTAACAGTGTAGGTAACATACAGGTAAAAGTGTAGGTTAACAGTCCCAGGTAACGGGTGTAGGTAACGTACAGGTAACAGTGTAGGTAACAGTGTAGGTAACAGTGTAGGAAACAATACAGGAAGGGAGTACAGGTAACAGTACAGAAAACCAGTGTAGGTAACAGTTGTAGGTAAAAAGTGTAGGTAAACTGTAGGTAACAGTGTAGGTAACAGTCAGGTAACAGTGTAGTAACATGTAGGGTAACAGGTAGGAAACAGTACAGTAACAGTGTGGGGTAACAGGTAGGTAACAGTACAGGTAACGTGAAAGTGTAACAGTGTAGGTAACAGTAAGGAAAACAGTGTAGGTAACAGTGTAGGTAACAGTGTAGGTAACAGTACAGGTAACAGTGTAGGTAACAGTGTAGGTAACAATACAGGTAACAGTGTAGGTAACAGTGTAGGTAACAGTGTAGGTAACAATACAGGTAACAGTGTAGGTAAAAATACAGGTAACAATACAGGTAACAATACAGGTAACAGTGTAGGTAACAATACAGGTAACAGTGTAGGTAACAGTGTAGGTAACAGTGTAGGTAACAGTACAGGTAACAGTGTAGGTAACAGTGTAGGTAACAGTACAGGTAACAGTGTAGGTAACAGTGTAGGTAACAATACAGGTAACAGTGTAGGTAAACAGTACAGGTAACAGTGTAGGTAACAGTGTAGGTAACATACAGGTAACAGTGTAGGTAACTTGTAGGTACCAATACAGGAACAGTGTATGTTACAGTGTAGGTAACAGTACAGGAAACAGTATAGGTAACATAAGGTAACGTGTAGGTACAGGTAGGTAACAGTGTAGGTAAAGTACGGGTTTAACAGTACCAGGTAACAGTGTAGGTAACAGTGTAGGTAACGGGTGTAGGTAACAATACAGGTAAAAAGTGTAGGTAACAGTACAGGTAACAGTGTAGGTAACAGTACAGGTAACGTGTAGGTAACAATAGGTAAACAGTGTAGGTAAACATACAGGTAAGAGTTAGGTAACAATACAGGTAACAGTACAGGAAACCCGTGTAGGTAACGTGTAGGTAACAGTGAAATGTAACAGTGTAGGTAACAGTGTAGGTAACAGTGTAGGTAAACAGTACAGGTAACAGTGTAGGTACAGTGTGGGTTTAACAGTGTAGGTAACAATACAGGTAACAGTGTAGGTAACAGTGTGGGTAACCGTGTAGGTAACAAACAGGTAAACAGTGGGGTAACATGTAGGTAACAGTGTAGGTAACAATACAGGTAACAGTGTAGGTAACAGTGTAGAAACCGTGTAGGTAACAGTGTAGGTAACAGTACAGGTAACATTTGTAGGTAACGTGTAGGTAACAATACAGGTTAACAGTGTAGGTAACAGTACAGGTAACAGTGTAGGTAAGTGTAGGGTAACAATACAGGTAACAGTGTAGGTAACAGTACAGGTAACAGTGTAGGTAAAGTGTAGGTAACAATACAGGAACAGTGTATGTAACAGTGTAGGTAACAGTACGGTTTAACAGTATAGGTAACAGTACAGGTAACAGTGTAGGTAAACAGTGTAGTAACAGTGTAGGTAACAGTGTAGGTAACAGTGTAGGTAACAGTGTAGGTAACAGTACAGGTAACAGTGTAGGTAACAGTGTGTGGTAACATGTAGGAAAACATAAGGTAACAGTGTAGGTAACAGTGTAGGTAACAGTGTAGGTAACATACAGGTAACAGTGTAGGTAACAGTGTAGGAACAGTACAGGTAACAGTGTAGGTAACAAGTGTAGGTAACAGTGTACGGTAACATTTACAGGTAACAGTGTAAGGTAACAGTGTAGGTAACAATACAGGTAACAGTGTGGGGTAACAGTGTAGGTAACAGTGTAGGTACAATACGGGTAACAGTGTAGGTAATAGTGTAGGTAACAGTGTGGTAACAGTGTAGGTAACAGTACAGGTAACAGTGTAGGTAAACAGTGTAGGAACATACAGGTAACAGGGGTAGGTAACAGTACAGGTAACAGTGTAGTAAACAGTGTAGGTAACTGTGTAGGAACAGTACAGGTACAGGGGTATGTAACAGTGAAATGAACAATACGGTAACAGGTAGAAAACAGTGTAGGTAACATTACAGGTAACAGTATAGGTAACAGTACAGGTAACATTTGTAGGTAACAGTGTAGGTAACATTTGTAGGTAACAGTAAAGGTAACGGGACAGGTAACAGTGTAGGTAACAGTGTAGGTAACAGTGTAGGTAACAATACAGGTAAAAGTGTAGGTAACAGTACAGGTAACAGTGTAGGTAACAGTACAGGTAACAGTGTAGGTAACAGTGTAGGTAACAGTGTAGGTAACTATACAGGTAAGAGTACAGGTAACAGTACAGGTAACAGTGTAGGTAACAGTGTAGGTAACAGTACAGGTAACAGTGTAGGTAACAGTGTAGGTAACAGTGTAGGTAACAATACAGGTAACAGTGTAGGTAACAGTGTAGGTAACAGTACAGGTAACAGTACAGGTAACAGTGTAGGTAACAGTACAGGTAACAGTACAGGTCATTTGGTGTCTAACCTTTAGTCTTCTTGCGGTTCTGTTTCCTTTCCTCATCTCTTATCTTCCTCTCAGCTCCCTGGAACAAACAGACAAATAAATGAGTGGACAGATGGATTAATAAATAAATGAGTGGATGGAATGATGGATCAATAAATGAATGAGTGGATGCATGGATGGATCAATAAATGAATCAATGGACGATGGATGGATTAATAAATTAAGGAGTGGATAGATGGATGGTTTAATAATTTAATGAGTTGATGGAAGGATGGGTTAATATATGAATGACTGGACGGATGAATGGATTAATAATTGAATAAGTGGATGGATGGTTTAATAAATGAATGAGTGGATGGATGGATGGAAGGATTAATAAATGAATGAATGAGTGGATGAATGGAAGGATTATTAAATGAGTGGACGGATTAATAAATGAATGCATGGATGTATGGATGGATTAATAAATGAATGAGTGAATGGATGGATGGTAGGATGGATGATCAATGGATTAATAAATTAATGAGTGGATGGATGGATTAATAAATGAATGAGTGGATAGATGGATGGATTAATAAATGAATGAGTGGATGGATGGATGGATTAATAAATGAATGAGTGGATGGATGGATTAATAAATGAATGAGTGGATGGAGGGATGGATTAATAAATGAGTGGATGGATGGATTAATAAATGAATGCGTTACCAGCCTCAGAAATTGTAGCCCAAACAAATGCTTCACAGAGTTCAAGTAACAGACACATCTCAACATCAACTGTTCAGAGGAAACTGTGTGAATCAGGCCTTCATGGTCGAATTGCTGCAAAGAAACCACTGCTAAAGGACACCAATAAGAAGAAGAGACTTGCTTGGGCCAAGAAACACGAGCAATGGACATTAGACCGGTGGAAATGTGTCCTTTGGTCTGGAGTCCGCCGTGTCTTTGTGAGACGCGGTGTGGGTGAGCAGGTGATCTCTGCATGTGTATATCCCACCATAAAGCATGGAGGAGGAGGTGTTATGGTGTTGGGGTGCTTTGCTGGTGACACTGTCTGTGATTTATTTAGAATTCAAGGCACTCTTAACCAGTATGGCTACCAAAGCATTCTGCAGTGATACGCCATCCCATCTGGTTTGGGCTTAGTGGGACTATCATTTGTTTTTCAACAGGACAATGACTCAACACACCTCCAGGCTGTGTAAAGGCTATTTTACCAAGAAGGAGAGTGATGGAGTGCTGCATCAGATGACCTGGCCTCCACAAGCCCCCGACCTCCACCCAACTGAGATGGTTTGGAATGAGTCGGACGGCAGAGTGAAGGAAAAGCAGCCAACAAGTGCTCAGCATATGTGGGAACTCCTTCAAGACTGTTGGAAAAGCATTCCAGGTGAAGCTGGTTGAGAGAATGCCAGAGTGTGCAAAGCTGTCATCAAGGCAAAGGGTGGCTATTTGAAGAATCTCAAATACAAAATATATTTTGATTTGTTTAACACTTTTTTGGTTACTACATGATTCCATATGTGTTATTTCATAGTTTTGATGTCTTCACTATTATTCTACAATGTAGAAAATAGTTGTTGTTTTTATGAGTGGATAAATGGATGTATTAAGAAATGAATGAGTGAATGAATGGATGGATGGATGATGGGAGGATGGATGGGATGGCTTCCCCCTTCCTGCGTGCTGGTGGCTTCCTCACTGCCTGGCTCCGATGGCTGGCTGGCTTCCTCCCTGCCTGCGTGCCTGGCTCCCTTCCTCCTGCCTGCGTGGGCTGGCGGGCTGGCTTCCTCCTGCCATTCGTTTCTGGCTTCTCCCTGCCTGTGGCTGGCTGGCTTCCTCCCTGCCTGCGTGGCTGGCTGGCTGGCTTCCTCCCTGCCTGCGTGGCTGGCTGGCTGGCTTCCTCCCTGCCTGCGTGGCTGGCTGGCTTCCTCCCTGCGTGCGTGGCTGCTGGCCGGCTTCCTCCTGCCTGCGTGGCTGCTGGCCGGCTTCCTCCCTGCCTGCGTGGCTGCTGGCCGGCTTCCTCCCTGCCTGCGTGCCTGGCTGCCTTCCTCCCTGCCTCCGTGGCTGGCTGGCCGGCTCCCTCCCTGCCTGCGTGCCTGGCTGGCTTCCTCCCTGCCTGCGTGGCTGGCTGGCTTCCTCCCTGCCTGCGTGGCTGGCGGGCTGGCTTCCTCCCTGCCTGCGTGCCTGGCTGGGTGGCTTCCTCCCTGCCTGCGTTTCTGGCTGGCTTCCTCCCTGCCTGCGTGGCTGGCTGGCTTCCTCCCTGCCTGCGTGGCTGGCTGGCTGGCTTCCTCCTGCCTGAGTGGCTGGCTGGCTGGCTTCCTCCCTGCCTGCGTGGCTGGCTGGCTTCCTCCTGCCTCGTGGCTGGCTGGCTTCCTCCTGCCTGCGTGGCTGGCTGGGTGGCTTCCTCCCTGCCTGCGTTGGCTGGCTGGCTTCCTCCCTGCCTGCGTGCTGGCTGGCTTCCTCCCTGCCTGCGTGGCTGGCTGCTTCCTCCCTGCTGCGTGGCTGCTGGCTTCCTCCCTGCCTGCGTGGCTGGCTGGCTTCCTCTCTGCCTGCGTGGCTGGCTGGCTTCCTCTCTGCCTGCGTGGTGGATGGATTCATCAACTGAATGCAGTGGATGGCTGGTGCAGCGCTTCACATCCAACAGCACTGATGAGAATTATTACAGTCTGTAACTAGTCTCTCTCTCCAGACGCTCTGCTGTGAGAACAGACTATCATTTAACTAAGGAGATTGTTTTATATGCAGAAGCCACCTGGGGGAGGCAGAGTGTCAGAAACTCTGGACTCTATTTGAGATTCTAACAGTACAGGGGAGGATGAATCCTAGTGCAAGGAGGGGATCTGAAGATCTAAATGCAGCTCTTTAGGAATAAAAGTTAATTAGTGAAATGGGTTATGAAGGAGTTAGAGGTCAGAGGTCAGAGAGAGAGAGACTCACCTTGTCACAGAAGACCTTGATCTGAGAGTAGGCTCTGTGGAGGGGCTTGTTGCTGCGGTTGTTGTAACTGTAGGTGTCAATCTGGATCATCAGAGGAAGACCTTTCACCCCCTTCTGAGATGAGAAGTCTGTACTCAGACAGTTCACTGTGATAAAGATCTAACCAATCAGAGGGACAGAACAAATCAGATTCCTGCCAACTGACCAATCGGAGACAGAGAGCAATGGCAGTGAGTTCCGTTCAGCTAGAACCAGACAAACCAGTCAGTTAATAAAACCTATATCTCAGTTGGGAGATCTTCCAAATACAACAGCATATTCATATTTACAAAATATCAAATTGCACAAAGCATGGTTCGTAAGAATGGGCCAGCTCCCATGTTTACAAAATATCATTGCTCAACATGGGAACCGTATTACTATATGTTGTTACGTAAGAATAGGGCCAGCTCCCACTGTTCTATGGCTGTGGTGTCTCATACAGGACTACACGTTATTACGTAAGAATAGGGCCAGCTCCCACTGTTCTATGGCTGTGGTGTCTCATACAGGACTACACGTTATTACGTAAGAATAGGGCCAGCTCCCACTGTTCTATGGCTGTGGTGTCTCATACAGGACTACACGTTATTACGTAAGAATAGGGCCAGCTCCCACTGTTCTATGGCTGTGGTGTCTCATACAGGACTACACGTTATTACGTAAGAATAGGGCCAGCTCCCACTGTTCTATGGCTGTGGTGTCTCATACAGGACTACACGTTATTACGTAAGAATAGGGCCAGCTCCCACTGTTCTATGGCTGTGGTGTCTCATACAGGTTAGTCAGCCTGCGTTAGTAAGGCATTTCTCCTATAAGGAGAGAACAGAACAGGATAGAACAGGACAGAACAGGATAGAACAGGACAGAACAGGATAGAACAGGACAGAACAGAGCAGAACAGAGCAGAACAGAGCAGAACAGAGCTGGGATGTGCTGAGACAAGCCATGGTCTCAACAGTATGTCTGCCCCGGGGCCACAGCATATCACAGAGAAAATAGGATCAACTCAAATGTTTCTTATTTTTACAGTTTAGACTACAAAAACAGTTTAGACTAAAACAGTCCTATTTTATTTTCTCTCACAACAGTACTCCCTGAACCATCAGGTTTCAACATGTGGACAAACACATCATTGTGTTTTTGCCCCCCCCTAAAATAGGTGTATTCTCAGACAGTGTTTTGTGTTTATCTGAATAGAGGCTATAACCTCTGTATTAACAGGCCTTTTAAAGCCCTCTTGATCAGTGAAGCAGAAACTATGGCTGCTGGGGGTCGTCTGGAGGGGATCACTTCCTATAATACATAAACATAGGACTTTACCTCACAGATGGAGACTACAACTAGGAATGGCTGGAGTTACAGAGCATGGGAAGATAGTTATCAGGAAATACAACTAATTGGGAGTGTTTCAGGTACAGTGGTCCCGTAAAACAAAGAAGAAAGACTTTGTGGAGACTGGGAACAATGAACACCGTCCATGAGTGAACATCTTTGAATCAGAGGGTTACATACAGCACTACTATCAAGGAAAACTGGATTATTCTTGTGAGGTGGGATTGTTGAACCTCAATAGGCTATAGCACATGACAGCACCCCGTCAGACAGGAGAGTAAATATTAGCTCAGAGAGTTGAGCTGGGTTGGATTTCTTCCAGCAGGTTCTTTGTCCAGAGCCTTGTGATTACAATGGCCTTCCAGTACTGTATTACTGCAATGGTGGAGCCAAACAGATAGAGAGAGAGAGAGAGAGGGAGAGAAGAGAGAGAGAGAGAGTAGAGAGAGAGAGAGATGCTATATGGATAAGAGAGAGATATAGATATGAGT